TGTGTGTGTGTGTGTGTGTGTGTGTGTGTGTGTGTGTGACGTGGGCAAGAAGATAATGCAGAAACCACAATGACGAGGATATGTCCTTCACGACATCTGTTAAAATTGGAATGATAAAGAGAAGATGAGCATGGCCTCTGTCCATGGATGGCACCCATAAATCGAGAAATGGTCCAGATTCGTTACTAAATTAAAAAAAAGGACAATGACCAGGGCATTTTGCAGGCAAGAAACAGGACATATTTTTACATACAAGATAAATGCAAGAACAACAACGATACAATGATCCAACTCAACTGGACTCCGAAATCGCAACCATGCAAGTCCCCAAAGTCCACACCACACTCGGAAAGCACAGCAACGAGACAGAAGTCAGCAGAAACTTGAAGATGTTATTCCAAACTACAAACGTGTTGCAAGTGCCCGAACACTCGACATGGGTGGCTATGGCCCTCAAGACCATAACTGGGACCCCCACTTTTCAGCTCTTGGGTAACGGGTCCAGAACTGAAATAAAGGATTTGGGAACTCTGGGGGTTAAATTTGATGCTTTTCTGATTTTATTTTATTTTTGCTTGTTTTCGTTTTGGCTCAAGGTTGCTCTTGGGTAACGGGTTTGGGGGTCAAATTTCATGTTTTCCTTTTTGTTTTTGCCTGTTCTGTATTGGTTCAAGGTTGCTGTTCGCCAAATTTAGTGTCTTTTGGTCCGTTTTGGACCACTAAAAATTCAAAATTCCTTTYTTTTTTTTTTTTCTTTTTTTTTTTGGGGAACAAGGCTCCAATCTATTCGTGGGGAGCAGCACGTGCTGGGAACCGGGCCCAGCGTCCCATATAGAAAATTACATAGAATTTTGAAAGTTCAAGTACCGGGGCCATAACCCGGCTATGGCTAAGAAAAATTTGAGCTACCTAGGAAATTACTACGACAATCTTCAGAAAAAGGCAAAATTCAGAAAACGACTCAGAACCCCCCATCAATCCTCTTTACCTCACTCCGGCAAGACTTACGGCAGCAGAGCCACCATCTCCGCTGCTGCTGTACCCTAATTCCGTCCTACGAGCTAGCCCCATCACTAGCAGGACGCTTGATATCCAACCATCTACTTATTCCACTCACCTCCTTTTTGAGAAAAAATTAAGAAGACCTCCCCCTGCCAGCATTGATCACCCCGGAAACCAGGGGATTAACTGAGCAGGGACACCCTTTGATGATAGGTCAAAAATTAGGAAAACAAGTGGGCCAATGACAAAACATTTTGCGAAACAATCCAGCCGCCAGTTGGATTTCATCTTCGCAATGCACCCCTACGGAACGCTGCCCAACGTTGCAAAATGGCACGGCAGTCGCGAAGTTTTCGGACACACAAAAATAGAAAAAAAGAAAAGTGTATATTTCCATGTTGTAGCAATAGATTCATTCGATTCTGCTGATCCTATCGATGGAAGTACCCTCTCTCTCTCTCTCTCTCTCTCTCTCTCTCTCTCTCTCTCTCTCTCTCTCTCTCTC